GAGACTAAATACGAGTGGTTCACCGATTGTTTTGTAATGCCCTAATATTCCAATTAAGGGTATGTTTGGGAGTTTAAAGGGAAGGGGAGGAGAAAGTTTTGGAGGTATGTTGTTAGAGGAGAAAAGAAGGGGAAGTAAGTTTGGAGGGAAGTAAGTTTTTGAACGAATTATAATTAAAATTACTTTGAGAAATGACGAATTCAAATAATTAAAGTGATATTCATTTTTAATTGAGCTTAAATTATCATTTCATTGATTATCATTCAAAGCCCTTCAAATTGGGGAAACTTAATAATTGAGCATTTAGAGGGATTTGGAGGTAGGGGTCGACTGGGCTGGTTCGACCCGACTCGGGACCCAGCCCATTATTGTACAGCCCGACCCGACCCGGGGTTCGGGACTGGGACTAGGGCCCGAACCGGGCTTTCGAGGCGGGCTACGGGCTTCGAAATAGGTGGACCAGCCTGGCCGAGCCCAAATAATTTTTTTAAAAAATATTTCGGGTTCGGCTGGTTCTAGGTGGGTGGGGCTGGGCGGTTTGGGGGTGGGGGTGGGGGGTTTCAATTATTTCTAAAATAAAAAATAAAAAAATAATAATTTTTGTCCGACCTGGCCCAGCCCGGTCCCGGTTCTAACCCGGGCCGGTACCGGGCCTGAGTATTTATGACCCGGAGCCCGGCTCGGCTCGGGCCCAATCCACCCCTATTTGGAGGGTTACAAAAACCTCCAAAACCATTCCCTCCAATTTTTTGAACTCCCAAACATAAAAAAGATCATAAACCCCCATCAATCTTCCTCTTCCCCCCAAAACTCAACCCCCAAACATACTCTAAGGATGTGTTTGGGAGTTTGATGGTGAGGGGAGGGGAAGGCTGTGAAGGTGAGTAGAGAGAAGGGAAGGGGAGAGAGATGGGAAGAGATTCCCTCCTCTTGTTTGGGAGTTGCAAATTTCAAAAGAGTAGAGTTTGGGGACTTGAGGGGTTTCAGCGGCGGAGAAATGAAGCGAGTAGCAGCTCATAAACATTTTATGTGAAGCGGTTTTAGTTTCGGAAGATAAATCTCTCATTTGCGTAGCTAGACCTTATAAAACCCTCAAATCGGGGGAATTAGAAAATCCAAGTTTTGGGGGGTAGAAGAATTTTATAACACCCCCAAAACATTTCCCTCATATTATTTAAACTCTCAAACACAAATAAGAGGGTTTATTTCCCTCACATGTCTTTCTCTCCCCTCCAAAAATCAACTCCCAAAAACACCGTAAGGGTGTGTTTGGGAGTTGGATTTTGGAGGGGAGGGGAAGGTTAACAACAAGGGTTCATGACTCTCCATTTCATGTTTGGGAGTTTAAAAATATGGAGGTAATGATTTTAGAGGGCTTTTATAACCCTCCAAAACTCTTCAAATGCTCCATTTTCAAGTTTCCCCAAATTGGAGGATTTTGAAGGATCGTTAATTAAATGACAATTTTAGCTCAATTTTAAATCAATATATATTCAACTATTTGAATTCATCATATATGTGAAATGATTTTAATTATAGAAATTACTCCAAACAGGACTAAAATTATGACAAAAACTCAAAATAGGACTTACTATGTTTTTCTTTTCAAAATAGAACCATATTAGTCCTATTGGAAACATACCTATTTTTTCATTCCATTCTTATCCTTCTTTTAAATATGAGTTAATTAAATGTTTAATTCATAATAAATTCGAAAAAAACAAAAATTTGTAGAAAAATAATTAAAAAAATATAAAATATTTATAAATTAAAAATTAAAAAAAATATATTTTTTTAAAATTAATAAAAAATAGTAAAACTCCATAAAAAATTAAAAAATATGGATGCCTTTCCCACCGCATGTGCTACCTCCATTTTTTCTGAAAATGCCAAAAATATGGCATATTTCTCTTTGAGAATGCCAACATTTTCATTGTTTTCTGCCATAAATATGGCATTAATAATGAACTTGGCATTTTTTCCCCTGGTCACTGGAGGTGGTGGTGCAGAGGCGGCGTTGAATTTTATTTTATTTTTTTGAGTTTTTTTTATTTTTTTTATTTTTTAAAAATAAATAAATAAATAAATTATTATCATCGAAATATTTTTATAATTTTTTAGTATTTTTTACGAATTTTTATTATTTTTTCCTTTTTAATTATGAATTAAAACATTTCAATAACTATAAGGGTATATTTGTCCAAGAAACACATAATTAGTCCTATGAAAACATAGTTTATTTTTTGGTCCTATTTGTGCAAAGTGAGTGACTTTTAGTCCTATTTTGATAATTAACCCTTTTAATTATAACTCATTGACAACCTCTATCTTTTCAAATTTGTTACTCCCAAATAAGAAGAAGGATCTCCTCCCCTTTCCTTTCCCTTCCTTTCCAATGAGTGACCTTCAAAACCTTCCCCTCCCCTTCCCTTCAAACTCCCAAACATACCCTAAAAGAATATGTCTATGGGGCTGATGAGTTACTCTAGGAATTGATAGTTGATATTTGTACACTGATAGGGACAGGGGCGGAGTCAGGGGGTCAGGGTGGTCAGCCGACCCCGTTGAAAGTTTAAGAGTATAGAGCTTTGAAATATTTTCGATTTGATATATTATAGCCCTGTAACTCATTACGAGTGAAAAGTTATGACTTCTGGAAAATCAACATTATCTAAACGTAAAATCAACAAAATTTGATGCACACTATAGATTATTTTCCCAAATTTTAAAAATAGGGTATAATTTACTCAATACTTTCATGACACGACTCAGAAACAGAGCAAAGAGAATCTATCTTACTACTACGAGTGCTTGTTTATTTAAACTGCATATGAAATATTCAACTCGGACATTGTTTAAAAATAATCCATCATTTTCATTATGTATATAGGTTGAGTTTCGACCTTCCTGAGCCGTTTTTTTGACTCCGCCACTGGATAAGGATGTAATCAAAGTATTGGGCTAGATTGGATTGGTATAAAGAATTTTTATGAATAAATTTTTATATTTATAAAAATAAGTATTTTCTTAAATTTGGGTGGACTGGACCTAGGTCGCCCCTAACTCCGCCAGTGTTACGCTTTTATTCGTTTATTTTAAATTTAGATAAGAAATACTGAAATTTGATTAATAAAAATTTATCATGTGGGTTGTTACTTGTTAAAGTTGTTAGTCAGCATTTATTTATTAACTGATTAGCAGGGGCACATTTATATCGAAAATATGATGGATTGAGATAAGTTGTCGCATGAGTTGTTATTCAACACATGCTCCGTAATAACTTATGAGGATGTTTTCTTTTGGACTGAAATTTACTGACCTGGTCTGATCTGGTCTGGTAAATGTCTGATCTCTGTGTAATTTATAACTATGGAAGTCTGGTCTGGTTTGTGATTGAAAACAGTCCAAAAGAAAATATCCTTAGATCATCCACATTGATGATACTCAAATAAACAAATTTTTTAGAGAAAAGGGTCAAATAAGGTCATCTACTATTATGAAATCGTCACATAAGGTCATGTACTCAATAAAGTGTCATATAAATACGTCTACTTGTAAAAAGCAATCAAATGAGTCGTAATCACCCGTTGACAACCTCTTAATCCCGATTTTAGCGTACTTTTGACCATCTTTTTAGAATAGATTATACGATAGACGTCAGACATTTAACTGAGGTTGTTTGAAATGCAAGTTAAAGAAATCGACACATAAGCTAAAATCGGGATTAAGAGGTTATCAACAGGTGATTAGGACTCATTTGGTTGCTTTTTACAAGTAGACGTATTTATATGACACTTTATTGAGTACATGACCTTATGTGACGATTTCATAATAGTAGAAGGCCTTATTTGATCGTTCTCTCAATTTTTTATGACACATGATTTTTTTTCAAAATAATCTCACACTTTAAATTACGTCGTTCATAATCTCAAAATAATCACATCTTTTATGAGTCTTGTTGTCTTGCACTAACTAATTAACTCTAGTTTCACAATAATTTTGAAATAACCTGAATTCATATTTCAATCCCAAATTGTTTTATGCAATAATCTCATTAAATAACTTCACTCACTCAATCATGATCACAGAAATAATTCGCCACATCATCAACTTAATACTTTAATAAACTAATGAATGGAAATGCCCTTAACGTGGCCATATTTATGTCAGGTCTTTGATAGATTGAAGCTCACTCCAAAGTCCAAATTTATATAGCCTATTCAACTTTTCCAGCTCAACCCCATAACCACATTTTGCATCTAAACATCTATTCTGAAAATAATTATGTTCGATTCCTGATACAAGATTTCAAGCACCTACAATTATTAAATTATTTGAGGTGCAAACTAGGAACAGAAGATCATACACATAAATTACGATTATCAAACTGATTCGTTATGTATTGATCTTAATTTATTTCTACGAACACCTATTGAACAATCATTTCCAGTCATGAAACATTCCACAGTATGACTGTATGACCAATTCATTGTGTTTCTATTTGGACCAATCTACCAGCGCCTGTCTGAAGTCTGAACACTACGTTTGGTAAATTTAATCACTGACCTGTAAAATGACTTTCTGTAACGAAAAGAGAGTACTTTGGGTAATAACAATTACTGTATTATCAGTATGATTATAAATGTTAATGTTATAAATTCTCAATTGCATAACACGTAATTATATTGCATATATAATACCCCCCTCAATGTTTTAAAGTTTTGCTACATATCCCTTTTTGGAATGTATCTCAAAGTTTGTTACACTTTTCTCATTTGATAAGTTTTTCCTATGAAAAATACTCAATTACACTTATTTTTCAACTTTCTAATTTCTATCTCCTATTTCATGCTTTACATTTCTTCTTCTACTTTTAAACACTATTTATTACCCCTACTACATTCCTCCTTAAATAATGTGTCAATCATATATAGCAATCGCTAAAATGCGGGAGGAATAAATCACGAGTCGTCAGAAACATGCACATACAAGTAAGAGAGTGAAAACTTAAAAGAATCAATCAAAAGAAGAAATGCTGGAGCACTATATTTATGATGACTATTGCAGTCCAAACTGTGTTCAGCACAAAAACATCCATTTCATTTCCAAAACCAACCAAAAGAAAAAATAACCTTGAACCGGAAATAAAGAAAAAAGGGGATGAATGAATACAAGTAACCAAAAATTTCTTTTTCCATCTATCTGCTGTGTTGGGGCTAACTTGTGAATAAATGTTCCAATCTACAATTTCCCATATATATTACGGAGTATATAATTCCATCTTGGGCTCCATCCATAGAAACACCATGTTGAGGGGCTGTGAGTTGTGAGGCCTTTTTTGGTCCTTTCTGGCACAACTCATCAAATAAAACAAAACTTGCCTCCCAAAAAAGAGGACGAAAATCTAGACATTACCCGTGTTAATGAAGTCCTGGATTATCGATCACCTTTTTGCTGCAGTTTTCATATTTAAGCTCTCTTGGAATTTTATTTTTTAAGGAATGGCTTTTGGCAGACAAGTAGCCGCCGATCACTTCCATTCTGGAGGTCAATTACTCTAGCTTCCCAACGGATCTGTGTGGCAAGCGTTCTCGCCTTCTCTATAATGCTCACTTTATCGGAGAGAATAACCCAGCCCTGAAAAAAGAAAATAGCTCTGGAGTTATTGTTTTTGGTTCTGGAAATGGTTTATTACAAAATACTTTAATCCATTTATAGCCTCACCAGATGGGCTCTAAATTTCTAGGGTTTTCCGAAAATATTAATTTCCAAAGCATATCATACCATGATTTTGAAAACTTATTTTACTTGTCTCTATTTTGTTATTTTGTTAGAGATAACATCGGAACAGCAGCTCAGCCAAGAACTTGTATGATCATCTTTTACATATAATAGAATTAATACCACATGCTCTCGAATTTAGCATTTCCTCCCAACCCACAAATTTTGAGCCTCAATCTTATAATCAGATTTAGAATACTCATTTTTTTGAAATGCTGCCTAACTTGGCTTCTGCATCTGAAAACTATTGTGGCCAACTAAAGAGCAGCCCCCATTTTTTCCATTTCAATTAACTCAAAGCAAACACCCTATATGTTTGAAGATGCAGGCACAAGTGAAAAGAGTAAGATTAGGTAAACAATGAAATGTCATTTACCTCAGGCCGCAAAATACGGTCCATTTCAAAAAGGACATCAACTATACTGCAGCTCTGTGAACTAAGGTGTGACAGGAGTCCACTGGCATGAAGCATGTCATATGTCCTGGGGTATGTCGGAAAGGGTTCACACCTGGCCAAATTTTAGAACTTCAAAATCAGCATATGAACACTGGAAACAAGTTTCTTGTATTTTCCACCAGCGGCGCTTCATGCAAAAACATGTGACTACATGGACTTAAATGGAACAAATGCACACATACATAAATATCATTCACATGTGCAAATATTAGGCTGGCATCCACTTCCACAATAGGAAAGTTTCTACCTCCCCCCTCCCCCGTTCTTAAATAACTATCTTCTTAGAGAGAGGGAGAGAGAAATTGTTTTCAAATACTACCTCTGTTCTCTTTTAAATGTCGTTTCGGAGATATTTTTTTTCTCAAATAGCATTAATGGAACATTTCCCCCCACTAATGACTAATCCTCTTCATCCATAAATTTTAGATAGTACTTTCAAACATTAATGGGAAAAACTGAAAAAGGTCCAAATAGATTAGGACCACCAACATAGAGTTGTTTTTGTGGATGCTTATATAAGATAAAATGTTTTATATAAAATAAAGCTAGGATATCAAGAGCATTAATGGAACATTTTCCACCACTAATCCTCTTCATCCATAAATATATTAGATAGTACTTTCAAACATTAATGGGAAAAACTGAAAAAGGTCCAAATAGATTGGGACCATCAACATAGAGTTGTTTTTGTGGACGCTCATACAAGATAAGATGTTTTATATAAAATAAAGCTAACTGAAAACTTACCAGTTATGTAGAACACCTACAAAACCGCGGTCAACTATGAGAGGAAGTGTATTTCGAGTCCCAATAGGTACAACATTCATTACCCATGCTGATTTTCTTGCATCAAATAATGCAGCATTTAAACCACCATAATGTGCATTCATATCCATCACATTGCGAACCATATTATATGGAGGCAGGGGGTCCTCGTCACCCGGCCTCTTTGGATGGTCAGAGAAAATCAAGGGTGAAAGAAGCGACCAATAGTCTCTTAAAGAAGATTTCCAGAACTCTGAGTCCTCATAGAAATCGTCAGGATGAACACCTGCTGCACAACATAATATTCATTCTATGAGATGGCCTAACACACATTACGAAAAAACTATTAAATTGAGAAAAAAAAACTTTCCATGAATTAGAAGGTCGCTTGCATTTAAAGAAGTAGATCCAGCACGGATTGGAGCCCATCTGTTACTGGTCGTCCCAGAAATACAAAGAGCAAGGGGGTGATAATATGTTTGAAAATCATCTCCTTTACAAACAGGCACACTTCTCTGCTTGCTGCAATATAAAACCAATGCTATATTAATTAGCTTGATGGGCAGATGGGCTTACTAGTAGACAGGAAACAATCCAACAGAAAAGGAAATAGAGAGCAAAATAAATGGTAAGAAACAAAATCAAGTTGTCGAAGGTAAGCATGAGACTCCATAAATGCCAATAATGTAAGAAACAATATAAGTTTAATCTGCAGTAGCTATAAGAAAAACTAAAGTGTGACGCTTTTACAATTGCTTCAAACTAGCCTTACATAGATGCACATTGAGGATCTAGAGTCTTCCTCCAGATGGAAGTCTCTCCTTGCTGCGCTAGAAGATTCCAGCAGATTTTCTTGGTAAACTCTTCAAAAGGAGTTGATACACTTCCGGTCTTAGTACTGATAGAACTTCCTTGCTGCTGATTTGAGGGTGAGGTTAAAACAAAATAACCTCCAGGTTTGAGTATCCGGTCAATTTCTATTAGAAAAACCCCATCTGGTTTGCAAAATCACAATTAGATTCATGATTAAAAAATATTTACATGCAAACAGAGATATACTATATATAGACACTTTTCTAGCAATAGGTCCCATTGCTACAAAATACTTCATAGATTCTGACCGGTGATCCATATTAAGGTACACTTGTCATCTTTTAGTGAAATTCTAGAACACCCAGAATAATTACAAAATGAACAATGAACTCATTAGCAAAGAATCCTTGGTATCATGATTACTTCCATAAAATGCTTCATAATAATAGAGTTAGTGAATAAATATCCTATGCATATTAAAGAGATATTAAAGTACAAACCAGTGAATTTTCAATCCTGAAAGGTAACAATTTATAACCAATCAACACTTTGATTCTTAGAATCATCAATCCTAAAAGGTAACAATTTATAAGCAATCAAACATTTTCATCCTTAGAGCATCTCCAATGCAAAAGTGTTAACGGTACATGTGTGACAGGAGAGATATAGACATATAAATAATAAATAAATAAATAAATAAATAAATAAATAAATAAATAAATAAATAAATAAATAAATAAATAAATAAATAAATAAATAAATAAATAAATAGTTTCTGACATTCTTTCAGTGTAATGAATTTTGTAAATTTAAATACACAATGTCAAGATTTAGACGGTGTGTTTGACATTGTGAATAAAAAACAACTGAATAATTACACCATGGAAAGAATGTCTAAGACTTTCTATTAATTATTTTTGTGTCTATCTCTAGTGTCACGCTTGCACCGTTAGGGCGTTAACATTTTTGCATTGCAGATGCTCTTAGAATCATCAATCCTGAAAGGTAACACTTTATAACCAATAAAACATTTCCATTCTTATATGGTGGGGATGTAAAAGCGAGCGAGTATTTTTTAAGAGTAATAAGTGCTACCATGCTACATCAGAATCTCTTTATAGATAAAAATTCCAGTGTAAAAGCTGTTACACGCCAATGAAAACTATTTTCCATGCACTAGTAAAAAGACTATATAGGGAAAATCTCAGAAAGGTAAAAAAGAATCTCTATAGAGAGTTTCTTTTAAACAATTACCTTTTATGTCCCATAGGATGCCACATTGGGCACAATGAACCATGTCATATGCCAATGCAGGAAACGGAAGCTGTTTTGAGATAAAGTTTCCGATAATTGCTGGAAGACCTCTCTCAAGTGCTAATTGGACCTGGCTACCTGAAGACTCATATGCTGCTACACACAGGGACATCAAATTCAAGGAGAGTAAGTGAGCCCCAAAGCTACCAAACCCACAGCCAACATCTAATACAGTATGCACCTGTTATCAACAGCATGATATATCTAAGCCCAAGTGTAATTGTTCAAAGATACTCGCACTTCACTACTTACGGAGTAAAAGTTGTAAGGAAAGAAGTTAAAAGAAAACTGTATAGGACCAGAGCGAGAAGCCGATAAATTCTACCGCTAAAACCAGACAAATGTGTATTCACAGAGTTAAGATAAACTTACACCAGCTTGAGGAAGTTCATGGTCACTTCCCAACCCAATCATTTTTGCAATTTGGTAAGAGTAATCTTTTACGTCATCATCTGCCACTCCATCCTCCGAGTGAAAAGCAATCTGATTCTCCTCTAATAACATTAACCTGAGAAAATCATGACTAATTATGAGAACAATATTTTAACACCCAGCTGGCACCTTGATGAACCGTCAAGGTTTTCTACAAAAAGCATGTCAATTAATACAGAAGACTTAGCCCACCATCTAACAACTGTTGCATATCCAGGAATGAATTAAAGAGTGTCAAATCTTGTGTAAGCAATGTATTTATTTCATTAAAATTACCTTTTTGTCATGCTTCCAGATGACAGGAAATGGTCTTTTGTTAATTTCACATTTCCACTCCAGATGACATCCCTGCCTGCTGGCCAATTCAGAGGAATCTTATAGTCTTTAGGAGGGCGAACTAAACAATGCTGCAAATCCCGTGAGATCTCACAATGCCGATCAAATTCCTCCCCATCTTTAAACCCAGCTAGTAAATTTGCAGTCACGTTGTAGCAAGGCACATAGTTCTCTTTATCTTTGCTACAAAGACCAACATCCTTTATATGGTAAGCTCCGAGGGAAATGCTCCTTAGCTCTAAGTAATCACTAGCTGCTTGATCCTTTAACCTTCTATAATTTGTATAAAGATCAGGTTTGGCAGATGAAGAAACAGAATCAAAAGTACTAGAAGAAGAAGACCCCAACAAAGCTATCACCACAAAGATGCTGACAAGAAGCAAGAGTAACCAGTTAAGAGGTGGTCTAGGGCCGAAAACGGAGGATAGTTTTTTTAACCAAGGGCTTCTCATGTCCGAATTCTGCCAGCCCCACGATTATAGAGCGAATAAAGCCACAAAAATATTACTTATTGGTTCAACCTGAACACCCAATGATCACGACTACGACAGCCTATCATCAGGAACCATCAGAACCACACAACGGAGCCAAGATTCAGCGCTCCAACACCCACTAAATTAGAAGCAAAAGCCGAATCCAGATCAGAAAACTATTCCTCTAAAAGCTATTAAAGCAGCAACAGCAGGTATTCAAAATTCGACCACTTCAGAAGTTCCGAATGGAATTAAATCTTGTCTCTCTTCGAATCCAATGATCAGAATCTGAGATCAACCTGCAAATAGAGTCCAAATTTCACACGAATAAAAAGGAGAAAAATGAACAACGAACGAAAATACCCACTGCACGACCACAATTGAGATTGCATTTAAACATAATGAGCATTATTAAAAAGAAGAGGATCTCGAGCTGGAATCAAATCCGCAGCGCATCTCAAACATCAATAAAGAAAATCAGCAAGCAAACGTCATCGTTACGTAAGGAAATATAGCTTACAAGACAGTTGCTGAGTATAGGGCGGTTACGTATGTGTAGGCTGGACCGTTGAGATGGCGGAAAACAGATTCGCCATTGATGTATGGAGAGAGATGGGGAAGGCAGGTTTCTGGTTTTGGATGCAGAGTTATTCTATCATGGGGAAACCACTTCGTTTTTTTTTTCTTTTCTTTTTGGTACATATATTTATATTTTTCCAATAATACGGAATTGAAAGACTGAGCAATGAAAAACTACAGAATACAGATCCAACACTGCCACATCTCCGCACAAAAACCAATGATTAGATTAATACTGTATATGGAGTGTATAAATGGAAATGCTCAGCAACTATTTTATTTACGCACCATTATCCTTGTAAAATAATTACATATTTATAACTAAAATAAAAGTCATTTACAAAATAATGATTTAACTTAGAGAGAATTTCCTAAATAAGAATAAAAGAAGATATAATTGCAAAAACATGACTACTATGTTTTACTACGTTTTATTGGACAAAAATATGACTACAAAAAGCTAAACTGACGAAAATATTCTTAATGAAAAAGTTACGCAGAGTCTGTGTTGCGCAAGTTTTCCCTTCCCCTGTGTTGCGCAGGTGTGGCGTGTGTGCAGGTTTGGAGTCGACGCCTCCACCATTGGCGCCTCTGCCACCATCCATCAAGCTGCCACCACCGCCACTCCTCAGCTAGTACGCTGCCATCATTCTCCAACAAAGAACTGCTCTCCAGTGAGTCTGTACAAACCTCCATGAGGAATGTCACTTCATATGCGAGAATGCCATTAATATGCATAATGACACAATAATGACAATTTCGTATAAACACATGACATTCTCAATATGACATTTTCAAATAGTGTAATGACATAAAAGTGACATTTTTTAAAAATGACTAATAATGACACAATAATGACAATTTCGTATACAAACATGACATTCTCAATATGACATTTTTAAATATTGTAATGACAAAAAGTGACATTTTTAAAAAATACCCAATAATAATGATATTCTCCTATTCAAAAGTGACATTTTCTGGAATCATTAGTCAGGACATTTTGAGATTCAAATTAATCAAAATTGATAACAAGAAAATTCAAGTTCAAATATATCTTCATTTGAAACTTTCAAAATTCAAAATTTTATTTAAAATTTGATTGATAAAAAACTAAAAAAAAAGCAGAGAACTGGGAGGAGGAGGAGGAGGACATACCTATCTTGGCTATTGCAGCAGAGGTCGTCGACGGTGGAGCTATAGTGCTGTGAGGCTACGATTGATGGCAAAGTGCGGCCATGGTGGAGTAAAGAATTGCAAAAGATGAATTGCTGCAGAGGAAGATGAATTGCGGCGATCAATTGCAGAAGGAGAGGAAGGATATGAGTCGCACATCTGGTTAGGTAATTGAGGGGTAAAAATGTAATCTTTAGTCCTATCCAGGGAATAATAAACTTAAACTCCTATTGTGAAATTTAGACAATGTTTTAGTCCTATTTAGGGCAATTATTTTTTTAACTTAATCACAATAACATATGTTTAATTTTGAAATTTAAGTGATTACGATGTTTGACACACTTGGGTAAAAATTAAAGTCACGAGGTTCTAACATTTAAAAGTCTTGATAAATATTTCAAGCAGAAAACCAAGAGGGGTGGAGTCCGTGGAGACATAGAATCCATATAGGAACACATTCAGAAATGTATTAATATTATGGATTGTTGCCTCTGTTTCTAATCCGGTTGAAAGTTTTTAGTTCTTAAAGGAATACTTGTACTTAAATGTCAGAGAAGTTTTTGAGAGAAAAAATGATGCATTGAAAAAGAAGAAAAATATATTATATTATTTAAAGTTGAAACTCAAAACAACGACGGATCATTTTGATAAATATTTTTTACAAAAAAAAATTGAAAAAGACATCAACTTTTGTTAGATCTTTAAATAAAATAAAATAAAAAAGTTGTTATCAAATGAAGCAGAGCGTTGCACTATCATAGCATAATGAATTACTTTATATTCCTATATGAAGATGCAAAAACTTCTATCACATTTCATATGATTGAACTAATTTAAAAGACATATATGGTTGATAGAAATGTACGGAGTAGGGTTTGCAATAAGTTTTCTTCGTGAAAGTTGTAGATCTTTGATTTATCTTTCTATTGATTTAAAAATGAGTTCAGACATATAATCCCTACAATAAAATATGATCAAACTTTACCACATTTCACATTGATTAAACACACATATTTTTATCTAAAAATGATGCATCCACTAGAATTGGAGATACATGTTCTTAATGGAAAATTTGTAGCTTTTAAGTTATGTCCCGAGTCATATAAAATAGCTCAAGAGGATAATCCTACATCGAGATATGATTGAGAACATTACAAATACACATCTTTATTTTTACACTTCTTTTTCAAAATTTTGAGTATTCGCCTCAAATTTTTATCAAAGTATTTATTTGGATTATAGTATATGTTAATTACTTCTATTGGAGATTTTGGATCGAAATCTTGTAAAGGCATAGTAATAGATAAAAAAGTGAAAAGTTCAATTCTATTTGATTCGATTTTACCTTTCAAAATTTGGAACCAGTTTGTTATTCGATATATATTTCTGGTGCATTTCTATTTGATCTAAAGTTACCTCATGGCGGGCTAAAATGTTAAACGCATGTTATAAGGCTATCCGCATTGGGGAAGGGTGAAAACCCCAAAAGGTGCAGCCCAGCCATTTTTTGTGAATTGGACTTGGGGTACACACTTTTTGTGTACACACTTTTTACACATGTCTGTGTAAGGTTATTTTTATGTCTGTACAGACATAACGTGTTTTTAAAACACGTTATGTCTGTACAGACATAAAAATAACCTTACACAGACATGTGTAAAAAGTGTGTACCTTTAGAATTTTTCTTTTTTTTGTATACCAAGGTCTCAAAACTAATACAGGAAACTTGAGGGAGCGAGATGTGGCCGGCATATTGACTCACATGCACAAATGGGATAGCAAAATCACGCGCGCAGGGAAATGAATGGAGGAGGGAGGTGAGTGTCATTTCCTTGCTTTCCGTGCGGTTGCAACAAAGATATGAGACCCTTTTAAAACAAAAATCCTAATTTATTTTAAAGTATCATAACTTTTTTATTTATAATCTCATTTTTATAAAAAATATATTAAAATTCATAACTTTTTATGATCTTTCGTATGACACCAATATGCTATATACAAAATAAAAAAAATATAATTTCAATTACTAGAGATTTGTATACACATAACTTTTCTTAAATATGTCTGAGAGCTAGAAAAAAAGATCCAACATTTTTTTACATTAATCTGTTATTTTTATAAAAAGGGTGTGGACTTATAAGGAAAAAATTAAACTCCAAAGTTATTTATTTTTATATCAAAATGTTTGACTTTTTAAATCATAATTATTTGTAAAAATGAATTTTTCACATAAATGATGTGTAATAAAAAAGTAAGCATTTGTGCATTTAATTTAAGTATATATATCGTGAGTGAATATATTGACGGTGTTGGGTTGCAGGGAAAAACTAGATTGATTGGGTCAATACGTATAACTCAGTGGGGAATTAGATTTTGATGGAGTATATGGGTCTAGGCCCCAGGATCCACATACTCAGAAGAACAGAAGGTGCCACGATCACCTGGTGGGACTCCCGTCGGCCGGATGACCTTCATCGGCCAGAAAGAAGTCTACCCAGAATATGATTCAGAAGCCAGGAGAGCCGGGTGTCCTCGTCGGCCGGGCCCTCATCGGCCATAGATAGCCTCTAGAACAGGATTTTATACTTAGTCATTTTTGTACACTTTGTATTCGGCCCATTAGAGGCCCTGTTGTAAATGGGCCTCCCAAGCCCGAATTTTCCCTATAAATACTTCCTCTGGGAGTAGTTGTAGGGCTTGACAAATCATTTACTGCAAGGAAATTATTGCACTTCTCTCTCTAGCTCTCACTTCTCTCTAGATATATAATCTATCAGATTTATGGACGGGTTGGGTTACGGTTAGCCTAAGAGCCCAATGGTGGAGGCCAAACAGCTGGCCGCCACGGCCGCGAGCAACTCATCCAGGGATCCCGGCTTCAACGCCCTTCTAAAAAAGGTCACCATCCTTGAGAGGGAGCTGGCCGAAGGACGAGGAGACCCCATCATCCAAGTCAGGACGAGGACTCCCTTCACCGCCAGGGTACTCTCGGTCCCTATCCCCGAGAAGTACCGGGAAACTCCATCAAGCCCTATGACGGCCGCTCCGACCACCATGAGCACTTTAGCCGCTACCAGAATAATATGTTGATGGTGAACGCTTCAGATGAATACCTCTGTCATCGGTTCCTTTCTACTCTTGAAGGGACATCGTACGAGTGGTTCAACGCGCTCCCCGAAGGGAGCATAGACTCATGGCAAGACCTTGCCTAGCGCTTCCTCACTCACTTTGCAAGAAGGAAGCGCACGAAGAATTATTTCATCCATCTTCTCTCCGTCAAACAGCAGCATGACGAGTCACTCCGGTCATTCATCGACCGATGGACGAGGGAGACCGATGAGGTCGAGGGGGCCGATGAGCGCACCCTCCATGTCCTTTTTCAGGGCGCCCTCCGCAGCACCCCATATGCGAGGAGCCTCATCACTGACCCACTGAGGTCCTATTTGAAGGCGCTTCAGCGAGGAAACTTGTACGCTGATGCCGACGAGCTCCACAGCCACAAGAAGGACGGAGGGCACCCCTCCAAGAAGGCAAACGCCGCGCCAGCTCCAGGCGCACCCTCGGCCGGTGACCGAGGTCAGGGAGAACAAGGCCGCCACGGATCCAGCGGAAAAAACAAGGACCGCATATGGCGGCCGAGGATGGAAAGGCCGAAGACCCCACTCACTCATTCGGCCAGCTCCATCCTCGATTACGCCGAGGAACACGATCTCATTGAGTGAGATCCTCGGTCGGTCAAGGAGATCTACGCCGTCCATCAGGGCGGCACCTACTGCCGTTATCACATGAACACCTCCCACAACACAGACGACTGCATCACGCTGAAGCGAGCCATCGAAAAGCTGATTCGCCAGGGGGAACTCTCCCAGTTTTTTAAAGGTGGCCCATGCAAGAATACATGGGTAAACACCGGCAAGCCTGGGGGTGAACCCTCTACAAAAAAGCGAGAGATTAGCAGGCTCAGCGAGGACGAGGAAGACTTTGAAGAGCCCCACCCGAAAAGGAACCATGTCAACCTCATCGTG